GAAATGTACTCCTTTCTCTGTTTCAGAATCTGGCAACCCTAGTCATTGCTGAGCGAAGTATTAACCAGGTTTCTGATGATGGTGACTTCGATAGCCAAAGCTGGGAGTGCTATAACTGGTTGCGGATCGAGGAATGCCTGAATGCCTGAATGAGTCGATTCTGGCCAAATTATCAAATGTCTCATTACCAGGTACCTCAGCCAGGAAGACCCAAGCATGTACCTCCAAGAGAAAAGTGAAACTTATCCCCACTAACTTCGAAAAAGACCCCAGATCGTGACCCAGAGTCAGTTTTGGAGCCATCGGTGAAGATTCGACAATGTGGGAGTCCGGGCTTAGTGCTGGAATTAAACCAGTATTCAGCCTCAGGGAACTTAACATTATAGAATCTCTTCAACAAAGGTAATGTGGCGTACTATCCTGTGGCACTGAATAGACATATGGGCTCAGATCTCAGCCGCCAGAAATTTTCGCCTCGCCCCAGTCAGTGTTACACCAACATCCGTTTCGTTTTAGTCTGCAGGTGGGCCTTTAAGGCCTCCCCACGTATGAAGACAAAAGTGACGGTAAGTGCAGCAGTGCGTCACGCGTCACACTACTCAAGAAAATTAAGGGAGGTTTTAAAAATAGAAAATTAAAGCTAAATAAAGGGGCTATCCGATTATATGAGGGCCTAAATGAAACAAACCATATCAGTCCCGTGGAAAAAAAGCTTACAATTTGGAAAATTATTTTTTCGCGTTGTCTGTCAGGATTGCATGAACACCGTGGCTAATAAAAATTTTTAGCCAAAAAGAATTAGAATCTTAGAGCTTCAAATGCCTTTTTAAAGTCTCAATACCACCATTCTTACCGAAATACGGCCTGTCATATACCCCAGAAAAATGTGGTATTTTTTTTTGCTCCTTTAATTTTTTGGAGTAGAGTATTATCTGCCTACATTGATAGATAAAGCCAAGCAACCATTTTTTTCTTTACTATCGCCAACGTAGACCCCCGTCGAGTCTCCCGTGAACCCCTGGGGGTCCACCTGGACCACTTTGGGAATCACTGATCTAGGCCATCGTTATCTTAGCTAAAATACGAATTTTTTGCCAACAAAAATATTCTCTGTGAAAGGCTTTTTAAATGCCATGGGATCGCTGGTTTTTAAACCACGGCTCTGAAATGCTTAGGAAAGATGTATGCTATTAAAAATTGCGAAAAAGCTCGTCCAAAAAAATATCAGTTAGGGCCTTTACACATTTCAACAACAATATGTACTTCAAGTTTTTTTTTTTTTTTATTGGGTACACGTGCTTATGTAATATCGCCTTATATTATTCGATTATCGAACACAAATAGCTAATCTACGTACTTATGTCCCAATATTATAGCAAATCATAAAAAAACGCTAGCGGCGTATCATTAAAAAAAGTATAGTCTATATATGTATATCAGTTGTTGCCATAGCTGCATTTTACACTCTAATACGAACCCAATTTGCCACAGAGCGAGGACGAGTTCGAATCGACGTCGGTCTGGTGAATTCGTTTGGATGAACTCGAAACGACGTCGAAACGAAGTCGTTTTTTTCATACCAACCGCAACGTAGTTACGACGTCGGTTTGGTGAAGTCGTTTGGGTGAACTCGAAATGACGTCGTTTTTTAATACAATACACAAGTGGTTTTGATGAACTTGAAACGACGTCAAAGCGAATTAATTTTTTCCATACAAAATTTGTTCTCTATTACACTAGAATTTAATCAGCTATAAAATTGCTTTATATATTTTTTTTATTCAGGTTGAAAACTTTGAAATTTTTAAGAATGCTGATTTTTTTTTTTTTTAATTTTGAACACAATTTGATTGGATTGGTGTGGTTTTTATTAAACATTTTTAACATCGTTTTGCAGTTCGCTAGCATATCGTGTTTTGCGGTTCGAGTCGGTTTTACAGCCCGCCGGCGAGCTGTGCTTTTCATCCGATGGCGAGTTCGCCGATCAGTGTTGCCAGGTTTTCGGCATGAGAAAACGTTCCTCTTGGTCTGAAAAAACGTCATTTCCTACCCAAAAACGTCTTTTCCATGTATGAATTGGTCTTATTAAACTTTTATTGTAGACAAAGGTCCATATGTACGTAAGGTATATTAAAATGTAATTTTGACAGAGCACATTTAAAATTCATTAGTGGTATTCACCAAAGTGAGCAAGTGGCCGGCCACTCTGGTAAAATAGCAGATGAGCTCAAGCAACGACTGTTGACAACAATTTGGTGAATACCACTATTGTAAACTGGTTTGAGATCATTAATATAAAAATCATGTTATACATACACTTGTGATCAGCTGATTAAGTCATCAACATTTTGATCGATTTTAGCTGTTTTTCTTTTGTTATTATTTTTTTCATAAAAGCCTAGCTCATTATATAACTAACACAATATAAATCCACATTTCAAACTTATAAAAAATTATAAAAATCTGCAAAGTTTCAGCTAGAATTTCAAGTTTTTATTCAGATTTTTTAGAATTTTTTTGAGTATCCGGTTTGATAGCCCATTAAATTCCAGGGTAATTATGTGCAAGTTTAAAGTTGCTAAAGAATCGCGTTAATTTTTAAATATTTTTTTTCTTGTAGACATTTGGTAAGGTGGTCGGTTGTCGAAAATNAAAATCTGCAAAGTTTCAGCTAGAATTTCAAGTTTTTATTCAGATTTTTTAGAATTTTTTTGAGTATCCGGTTTGATAGCCCATTAAATTCCAGGGTAATTATGTGCAAGTTTAAAGTTGCTAAAGAATCGCGTTAATTTTTAAATATTTTTTTTCTTGTAGACATTTGGTAAGGTGGTCGGTTGTCGAAAATGCTAAATTACGTTCTGCTAAGAAGGAACATAGTGCTTTTGCGAGCGTGCGTGTTGCAATAGATCAGCTCTTCCTGATTTGGCTTTTAATATGCAATTGCAAACATTGTAATAAGCCTTGTAATCTCAAGTATTTACACAACCAGCCTTTGAACGCGGGATCATATGTGTCCAAAGAATAAACATCTTTTGAGGCACCTCCTGCAAAAGTTTGTAAAGATTTAATAAGAAAATAATTCAAAATGAGTTCTAGTTACAAGATTTAGTAACAAATTTGCCGACAGAGTGATCGTAAGTACTTACTCTACAAGCAAATAGTACGCTATACATTAAATATATTGTGCATAGAGAAAAATTACTGGGAAGTTAAAAAACGTAATTTTTTACACAAAAAACGTCCAAACGTCAACAGGATACAAAAAACGTCCAAATGACGTTAAAAACGTCAACCTGGCAACGCTGTAGCCGATGAACAAATTGTTAACCAGAACGAGTTGGAAACGACGTCGTTACGTTCGCATCACTTTACACATTCGCATCGACATTCGCCTTCGCATCAAATGATACGAATATTTTGCGAATGCCAATGAGTACTTGGGCAACAGTGTTGTCATTTTGGTGTTTTTGGAGCAAGATTTAGCTCTTGATTTTTCTATTTAGCACCGAAAATTGGACTTTAGCTGCTAGCTCTTTTCAAAATTGTCTAGCACTTTTTAGTTCCACAAAGATTTAGTTGTATTTGGTAATATATTAAAATTAGGAATCTGTATTTCAATGTACAAGTGTTGCCTAAAATTTATTTGGCTTTGGTGATCCCAGGCTATCTCCAATTTCGATTAATAATTAGAAAAGTTCCATTCTTAATGCAAATGGCGGGTAAGCAAATGGAAAATTAGCCCAGGAAAATTAGATAAATTTGGTAGGAAATTTGAAAAAAATTGGTAAAAGCGATTTTTTGATGCAGTTTACTTCTATTTGGCACGTAGATCATGGAACCACAGTTGTGCTCATTGCTAGAGACTACGAATTAAACTCTATAACTATTTACGCCAAAGATGTACAATGAATTAAGCAGTAGTGCGAGATAGTTTATTTCTATAATAAAGGAATTACATTAACGATTTACAAATTACCAAAATTTAGATCTTACCGCGGTTCCGTCTCTGTCGGCTTTTTGCAACGAGTGAATTCGTCAAATCGCTGAAGATGGAACCGTGGTTTACAATCTTGCCATGTTCACAAATAAACATACAGAGTTGCCGCATTTATAAATAAACAATTTTAAAGTTTGAAATAACAGCGTTGCATTTGCTAGGCGTTTCGCGACATCCCTCCCCCGTGAATCACACTGATTCACTATTTTCTAAATTAAGAATGGCTAGCTTAGATGAGGCGCGTCTAACGATTCCGTTGCTGGTACGGACATTTGCCTTCCTGATCACTCCATCAGCTCCTGGGTAGACTTCCTCGATGATTCCACGACACCATTGCCTCTTTGGAACAATCGCGTCGCATATAAAAACTGTGTCACCAAGTTCGATTGGTTGTGTGCCCTGGCACCACTTGACACGTCGCGTTAAAGTGGGTAGGTATTCAAGGATCCACCTTTTCCAAAAGTGGTCACGAAGTTGTCTAGCGATACGCCACTGATTTCGTAGCGAACACATCCTTTCGGGTTCCTTGTTGACACTTGGTGTTTGTGCTGTGTTCGCCGAACCGAACAAGGAGTGGTTAGGAGTAAGCGGTTCTTCTTGGTCTGGAGCGATGGGTAGGTGCGTAAGCGGGCGCGAGTTGACGATGTTCTCAGCTTCGCCGAGGAAACATTGAATGGTGTGTTCCCTTGGTGCAACTTCCTTAAGCGTTCCGTAAAACTCCTTTTACGCACTGCACCATTCTCTCCCATACGCCTCCTTCTGATGTATTGACAGGGCAGTTAAACCTCCATTGAATACCCTTCGACGCTAGTTCATTCTGTACCCTTTCGCAGTCGAAAACCTCAGAAAACTTATTGGCCTCTTCGTTTGCTCCGACGAAATTCTTCCCGTTGTCCGAACGTAACCTTACTGGCACGCCGCGCCGGTTGATGCAATTTCGAATTGCGATGATACATGCATCCGTACTCAAGACGTAAGCCAACTCTAGGTGGACGGCTCTTACCGTCAAGCAAGTGAAGAGCGCCACCCACCTCTTTTCTTGCCGGCGTCCTATAGTGACCATAATAGGGCCGAAGTAATCTAAGCCAGTGTATGTAAATGGTCGCACAAAGGGCTCAAGGTGATCCACTGGCAGCGGTCCCATAAGTGAGGTAACTGGTGCAGCTTTATTTATACGACAAACGAGGCAATCGGCTATAATCTTCCGGAGAAGTTGACGTAGGCGTGGAATCCAGTAGGTTCTTCGAATTTCACAAATTGTTGCTTCGGTGTTCTGGTGTTTAAGAACAGCGTGATGTTGTACCAACAATTTTGTAAGAGCGTGATTGGATGGCGATATAACTGGACGTTTCGTACTAAACGGCAACCAACTCGCAGCATCTATGCGTCCATTAACTCGCAGCACATTGTCTTCGTCTTTGTATGGCGACAACTGGTATAGATCGCAGGTTAGTGGGATAGGAATGCCATCTGCGATACTCTGGAGATCGAGGGCGAATGCTTCTTCTTGGAAATGACGAAAAAGAAGCTTTTTTGATGCGTCCACCTCTTCCGATATCAAACCCCACTGCTCAGCATGCCAAGCACGTCGGCCACAACGACATCTCTTCGTGAATCGCAGCACCCAAGCAGTAGTTCTCACGAGTTTATTAAACGACGAAAAACGATTAATATCATCAGGTCTATTACTCACAACCAACCGGGCGAATTTCGGGCTCAGCTCTTCTTCATCTTTCAAGCTCTGGTCGTTGAATCCAGCTTCTTTTGGCCAGTCCACTTCATTGCTGAGAAGAAATTTCGGGCCACATAGCCAAAGTGACGTGGAACAATATTCGTGACGGCTCTTTGCTCGGGTCGCCTCATCAGCAACATTCTCAGCCGTAGAGAGCCATATCCAATTTGAAGGCGTCGTTGCAGACAGAATTTCTGCTACACGATGCGCCACAAATGGCTTGTATCGGCGGTGTTCGCTCTTAATCCACTTCACAACCGTTTTTGAGTCTGACCAGAGGATACAGCTGGATGCTTTGACTGCATGCTCCTCTCGTAACGTCTGCATCAGACGAGTACCCAGAATGGCTACTTGGAGTTCGAGACGCGGGACCTTGATTGGCTTCAGGGGTGCACATTTAGCTTTGGAGCATACGAAGGCGACTTCTATTTCGCCAGCTGAATTCGTGGTACGCCAATACGATATGGCGACAAAGGCATCTTCGCTGGCGTCCACGAAGATGTGGAGTTGAAGATCTTGTGGCATACCGTTTCGAAAATAATTTCTTGGAATGCGTAAGTCTAGAGCTAAAGGCAACGTACCGCCGCCAATTGTTCCAGGCGACATTAACACCGTCAGACAATGGGTCATCCCAGCAGATCTTTCGTCTCCAAACCTCCCGCATGAGCAAATTCGCTGCGATTGTGAAATGGCTCAAGAATCCAAGCGGGTCGAATATGAACATTACCATACTAAGCAGTTCTCTCTTTGTGGGGCGCCTATCGCCGTTTATGACCTTCTCGTCTACGCCATGGAATCTCAGCTTGAACCTAAACTCGTCATCGGACGGCTGCCAGTACATGTCTAAGACCTTTTCAATTGGCAGGCTGTCTTTGCTGACGATGGGAACCGTGACGTCAGTGCCACACAAAGCAGTTATTACCGCTTCAGAATTTGAAACAAAGTTTCGCAGCTCGAAACCAGCGCGTTGGTGTATTGCACGTACTTGTCCCGCAACCTCAATAGCCTCCGATTTACTGCTGAAGCTATCTACAAACTCGTCCACGTAGTGATAGTTTAGGATGGACTTAACTGCTCGTGTGGCGTGATTAACATGCATGCTCCAGAGCGTTGGCTGCTTCGACGAATTGCGCGCAACATGGCGAGGAAGCAGCACCGAATGTCATCACCTTCATCTCATAAACATCGGGATCTTGCGTAGTGTTACCATTTATTCAAAGGAATCTTTGTGCACATCTGTCTTCCGGGCGGACTAAAATCTGGTGGAAAATCTCCTTGATGTCTCCACATACAGCTATTGCTCCCTTACGAAAGTGAAACAAATCCGATGGCAATGCACAAAGATCTTGCGGACCCTTCAGGAGATGAGCATTCAGTGACACACCATGTGCTTCAGCAGCGGCATCAAAGCCTCAATTTCCCTGGCTTGTTAGGGTTAACCACGCCGAATTGCGGCAAATACCATGTTTTGTTTTGTAATGAGGCTATCTCTTCTGGCTGGAGTTTCCGGGCGTAATCCTTCGATGCCAAGAAGTCGCCTGTATGCCATTGAGTAACTTTCTGGCAGAATAATGTCGTCACTCCTCCACAAGAGCCCTGTTTCGTACCTTCCGTTTACTCGACGCGTTGTTGTATGTAAGATTACTTTCGCTCGGGTGTCATCTGCACTTTCAACAGGGGGCGCTGGTTTCACTCCGAAGCTTTCTATGGTGAAATAATCAGCCACCAGGTCGTGAAGCTCTTGGTCGCTGGTTTGTTTGACTAAAACACATCGTTGTACGTTGGGCTGAGCCTTTACTGTTGGAAAAAATACACCAAAGCCAAGCTCGGTATTGGCGGCGTATGGTCCAGTGCAATGAATCCTCAGGACTTCCGCAGGCAGACCTAAATGGCAGTGGTCGAGGCCTAGTAGCAATTTTGGCACGGCACCACTATACGGCTCCAACGGCAACTGTCGCATGTGGGTTAATGATTTAAGGTCTTCTTTACTTACGCTTTGTGATGGCAAACACAAACTCGACACGCTATGGACGTTACGCAGATGATGTCTCTTCTCCATTCCTGTGCCACTGATGAACAAGTTGACGACTTGGCTGAGTTCTTCAGCTGCCCGACCTCCGAACCACTGAACATGTAGCTTGCGCTGATGGCCACGTAACCCCAGCTCCTGTACTAAAGCACTGTCAATCAGAGTGAGAGACGAACCTTCGTCGAGCAAACCATAAGTGTTGACGCCTTGTTCTTACCATAGAGCGTCACAGGCAAGATACGGAATAACAGCTTGTTTTTTTACTAAATTGTTGCTGCAACTCAAGACTGATGGTTTATTACCTTGATTTAGTAAATCTGCAGGTGCTGGAGACGGTTCTGGTACTTTAGCTGAATTCTGAGTCAAATCGTGTAGGAGCTTGTGACTCACTCTTTTACAGCCATCTATAGTACAGGTCTTTCGGCGACGGCAATCCCGTGCAGAATGTCCAGCATGGAAGCAGGAAAAAAATAGGCGGTGACGCTTAGCTTCAGTCCAACGATCAGGTACTGTCATTTTAATGAAGCGTTGACAATCCGCCAACTTATGACAGTGTTTGAAGATTACACATTTCAAGGTTGGTGTCGAATGTTTTTCACGCTGGTTCTCTGTGGCATATAATACTACACGACGTGTTATTATTTCTTTGCTATCGAAACTTTGCACAGTGCATATGAGATTCGCAGTCTGAGTAAGCCATTCACTAAAGTGTACTATGGTTGCGTACGGTTGAATCACTGATGCAACCCTGGCCCACTCGATTCTCTTGCTCATTGGCAGTTTATTGACCAGCTCCTCCATCAATCGTCGGATTCACCAGATGCTTATGACCGTTCGCCGATTTCAAAAACGCGACAAGATTTTGTACTTTAGTAGCAAACGGAATCAGCTTCACTAAATTGGACTCGGGCACAAATGGTATACCTTTGCTGATCGACAGTTGGCTGCGAATAAGTTGTTTGGGGCGACCAAAACGAAACCTTAGCTGCTCAATGATGGCATTTACATTGTCTGGATGGATCAATAACGCCCGCACAGTATCGCGAGCTTCCCCTTTCAGACTTTTCTGCAAGCGCTGGTTGTTCTCTAAATTTGTGTAACCATATACCGCTGTAGATTTTATGAACGCTGTATGAAACAAAGGCCAATCCTCTGGATGGCCGTTGAATTCAGGCAAGTACTGCAATTTGCGCGGTGCTAGTGCCGTATATTCATGTAGGACGTTGTTGCATATAGGCGTTATCCCAGGCATTCCTGTATCTGGCAAAGGCGACGCTGATGATGAAGCGAAAGGCGCTCTCGTTGGTAGAATAGCGAACATGACGGCGGATGCTCATTCGTTACTCTGGCGCGTTGATGAATGCCACTAATTGGTTGAAAGTCGCTCGAACCTGCATTAGAGGACGACGGCTGCGTGACAGGGACAATAGAGCTGGCGACAACGGCGGACGAGTTAGCGGCACTTGTAAAGACAGGAGTAACGGCTTCATAGGTAGCAGACCTTGAAAGTAGCGGCTTGATGAGTCATGGCGGGAAACCCATGCGATGCAGAGACTGTATTGGTGGTCAAACTGCTATACAAGGCGGTTGATGCTTCATTATCAGGTCTCGCCATCATTGTGTTATTAGCGCCCTCAATGTAGCAGCCAACTGAGCCGGTAATAGCATTGGTGATTGGAACGGCGTATGATATGGCCGTTGTGTCATCCTTGGAAATGCGCTGCTGAAGTGCCTCCCTTAACGGAGGCATTGTGAATCGCTTTCCTTAGCTCTGACTTCCACGCTTTTAAGTTGACATTCAAGAGAGGCAATTTGTTTAAGCAGGGTCTGAACAACGCTTTCTTGGGGGGGCAAATTTGCGGAACTGGCGAAAGTATTTTGTGTGACGGCTTCTGATCGTTGGCTAACGCTATCCTCTGGTACTGTTGCGGCGGGTACAGCGGTGGTAGCAATTTGCGTTCGATGCTGGCTCGGCTACATTTCCTCTTGGCCTGCGGGATTAGGATCATAGGCTGCATCGCCTTTGTCTTGACTGGATTCTGATACTAGTCCTTGGAGGCGAGGGCTACCACGTGGGGCGTGCGTTCCGTCATTTTCCGCAGTATGCAAATGGAATTCGCTCGAATAAAAAATGTATGCAAATGGCGGCTTATACAATTGAAAATTAAGAGGCGCGAAATAAAGATGTGCTCGTTGCTAGAGACTACGAATTAAAATCTATAAATATTTACGCCAAAGATGTACGATGAATTAAGCAGTAGTGCCAAGATAGTTTATTTCTATAATAAAGAAATTACATTATCGATTTCCAAATTACCAAAATTTAGATCTTACCGCGGTTCCGTCTCTGTCGGCTTTTTGCAATGAGTGAATTCGTCAAATCGCTGAAGATGGAACCGTGGTTTACAATCTTGCCATGTTCACAAATAAACATACAGAGTTGCCGCATTTACAAATAAACAATTTTAAAGTTTGAAATAACAGCGTTGCATTTGCTAGGCGTTTCGTGACAAAAGTCTTTCCCCTAAATTCCATTTGGCAACATTCCGCCATCTTAAAGTTTTTTTTTGGGTTTTTTTGCGATTTGCAAGCCTATTTTGCATCTTTCGTAAAAAACGGTTAAATGCAAATATGTAGAGAATTTAATTACCCACATTTAAAATTTTTACATTGTCACGGTTTTTGCCATTTTTTGAATATTTCTGTTGAAAATACATAGCATATTGAAATTCCAAAATTGTAGAGAATTTCATTTCTCACAACTTCTATACCAACATTTTTTTTGTATGACGCTTAGATCACGGCCGAGAACGTGCCAAACATAGCGATTAGCCAAATAAAATTAGATAAGAATAGATAAGAAATAAACTAAAGATTGAGAGTAATATAGGGCTGCCATAATTGCTGGGCCTCAAACGGGGACACTTAGCAAACAAAACTTAATTCATTCCAAAGGGATACTCATGCTCTCGTTTTTCAACCGGCTTCGCAAAAAGGAAATGTTATTAATTCGTCGGAATATATATATGTTTTTTTATGTATGTTACCGCAAAATTTGGACCACGGTAACCGATTTCTATAATTCTTTTTTTTTTTAAAGGAAATATGTTACCTCACAGGTGGTCCCATACTAATTTCGTTTAAACCGATCATTGCATCATGAAGAAATTAACGATAATCTTAAATTTTTATATCGGAATTGAAATCGGTTTTGTTTTTTGCTTACAAATTGCTTATTTTAAATCATATTTACATTTATAGTCTCGTTCAATTGCAGAGGGTAGTTAAGTTAATACATACAAAAACGGAATTGCATAAACCATAATAAATAGAGATGAAGCAAACAGTGAAGGAACGTACTATTTATACGCATAACGTATTTTATTATATACTAGCAGACCCGGCGAACTTCGTCCCGCCCAAAATCTTTATTTTTTTATTGTAACTTTTTGGACCAACATTTTCACCAACAATACACGTTTTCGATTTTCATTGGCACATTCATCTGCTAAGATTATGGTTTGGTGGTCATTTACCGCGTTAAATAACCTAACACTTCCCGTGTTATATCCGTGAAGAAGTTCTTGAAATTCTCCAACTGTGCAGCATTTCATAGCACGGTTATTCAAAAAACGAAATAAATTTGAAGAATTTCTTCCTATAACTATAACTCCCTGGCGGCACCAATGACCCGGTCCTATAGTGAATCTGCCCTAGAAGCTTTACAGTATAGTTGGTGGCAATTTCAAAATGGGTACGAATAATTGTTCTACAGAAATGAAATATACATATATTTATTTCAGACGAAATACCTTAAAAGCTTGGACGCATAATAGTATGAGAAAATCACATCCATTGAGCCAATCGTAACACAGGAGAGTTCGATATACTCAATGGTGCAACGGGTCGATTTAATCTGACCTTCACGGCACCTTTTCTCACTTGGCTATTTTTAGTAATAACTCGACTTCAGCGCCACTTGGCAGTAGGGTAGAAGGGGGACCATTCGTCACTTTTTTTTTAAATCTCTGCCGAAAGTACGCCGTTCATTTCTTTTGTTTAATATTTGG